AGGGAATTATGGGAGTTGAAGTCCACACCTCTTAAAATTGCCAAGGTTGAGAAACACTAATCTAGGGTAATCATACACTTTCCAAATAGCTGCTCTACATTCTGCCTCATACAACATTGGCTACTGGGAAATTGACTGATCGGCTTCATTTTGTTACATGGATGCTGACTCCTTTTCTATGTGAAAAATCAATCCCAGAGTATAACTTATTAAATAATTTTATAAACAATAATATCTTGCCCTTCAAAATTATTTCTCTCAGAATGCTTTACAATACATTAAAATAAAAACTGAAACCAACCAACAATAATAAGACTGCACAATAAATTTTTTAAAAAAGCATATCAAAGCTGTTGAAGTCATGGATTTTGTTTCTTAGTACTGATGTCCGGGACTGAAGTGTCAGTCAATCTCCCAAGTGCTACATAGAAAATTCAAGAAAGAGCAGGCAGTCTCATGGTCCTATTTCTACCTCTTCAGTCCCTGAATCATTCCAATGAGTACCACGGCTGACACAATTGTCTGCCGAAAATAATGCAGTTCCTAGCAAGATTTCAAATGCAGTTTGACTATCATTCCACCAAATGGCCTGTTGATTGAAAGAGAAAAGCAATAAGCTGTTACAAAAGAAAAATATATCCATTTTTCTAAAGCGATGTTTCTTTTTCTGTACCTGAGCAGAATACAAGTAGAATGCAAGAACAGAATGTAAGAAGAGAAATTCCTTTATGTATCCTTGATATGTTGAAGAGCACTATGCAAAAGTCAAGCTACTGATTGACTTTAGTCCAAAGGCATGAATTTTAGATTTTTTTGTTTTGTTAAAGTATCTCAAAAAAGAGCAACGTCTTTAAAAATAGACCTAATGAGGGTATAATCCTCTTGTAACACACTGTGTAAGGCATTTCAGTTCTGGCACCTTTTTGTCTGCAGACATCCACAACATTATTTTGTTTTCTGGTGATAGACAACTTGTCCTTCAAACATTGGAGGCCCTTTAGGACATTATATGTCGTGGAAGCTTGTATTAATCCATTTAATAATCCATTACTTTTTCATTTTGCTATGAATAAATTGAAAGCATTCTGGTTAAAAAAAAAACATAAAAAGAAGGCACCATAAAGAGACTCTTCAGTGAGTGGAGGCTATGATATGCTGGTGAGAAAGTTCTTCACGCTTTGAAAATTAGCTACTTGGGCAGAAGACTGTAGAAGTAGGATCATTCTCTTCCCAGTTCTTTGCCAATAGTTAGAGGAAAGCTCTCCATTTTGTCTTTTGTGTGTGTGTGCGAGCACCTAAACTCATGCTGTGATCTCTGGGAGAAAGAGAATGAGTGTATTCTTAGTGATATGTCTAGAGAAAATGCATCCTGGGATTCAGAAGTGGAAATAGGCATCATATCTGCAGCACACGTCGATTCCACATGCCCCGCTTGGAGTGGAAGTGATGGAAGAAGTGCCTGATATACAGTCGGTCTACTTCCAGGCCTGCCTGAAATATTCTGCAAGAGAAGGTGGAGGAAGATTTCGATAAGAACACAATCGGCATCGGTTCTGACCTACTGTTTATAGCACTTGGGTGTGAAAAGCTATCGTGTTAAACTGTAACGTGATTTGTTTTGCATTTAGCATGCTATGTGAACCCAGCCACTATGGATGGCAAACCATGATTTATAGCTGTGCTTTATATGTGAATCAAGGGACTATAATTTCTTTGATAAAACACATTTAACAGAGTGATGACCCAGCCATTCATTCTTTCTTTGCTTTGATGCTACAATATGAGACAACTTTGGCACAGCCAAACATCTCACATTCTGAATTGTCTAAGATCCTTATGCTGGGGCCGTCACTGTTCTTACCAGTGACCCTTACTGAGTTGTGTACTTCTTATGTCTGTAATGTGACAACAAAAGAGATATGGGATCAGTTGCCCTCTTTTTCTTTCCCCTTTAAAATTTGGAGATTCTTTGCTTTCAGAATGAATGAGCATTTCAAAATGTGATATAGATTAGAAAGCTTCCTGAGCAATTTTGTGAAAAATGGTTAAAAGCAGCTCTGAAAGCTATAAAGAAAAAATTAGCACTGCAAAGAAGGATCCTTGTGGCACTTAGACACATTTATTTTTGCATTTACAGATGAACTGTCAATTTACATAGTTGTCCAAAGGAACAGAGAGAAAATATTTTAAAATTCTGTTTGCTTTGCGGTCCCACACTGGATTATGAGCTATTTAGGGAGAATATTCTAGGGATGAAACAGAATGTTCATGTTAAAAATCAACCATAAAAGAGATGGGTAACTAGGTATAGAGACTTTGTTAAATAAGGGCTAATTTTTAAAAATCTCTTACTATGGCTGGCTTTTAAAAATTGCAGTAGTGTCACAGAATGAATCTATATTTCTGAATGTGTGCTAAAACATTTAAAGAAGAGTTAAGCAAGTATGTAAATATGAGAGGGATAGTTACAGACCCTACAGAGATGGATGAGATCAGTACTCAGTTCAGCTATATCATGTTGTCTGGGAATTCTAGGAATTTTATCCCCAGCACATTTAGAGAATATCATGTTCAAATTGTATAACATCCTCCAGTAGTATGTGAGGAACTACAACTTCAATAGAAGTTTCCTGAAAAATATATGTAAAGTTTCTTCCTACGGTTATGAATTCAGCCAATAAAATGGCCCATTCATTTTATTTTGTTTTGTTTAGATGACCATGATAGTACAAAGAGTTCCTCCTTTGAGAGTGGCCATTGGCTGAACTATTTACAAAGATAGCTATCAAATCTTTACTGACCTGTCTAAGAGTTCCCAGTCCTCTCCTCCCCATTTGTCACGGAACTCTTGTGTGTTCATTCCCCCAATACGAACCAAATCAGACTTATATATACCCAGGAGACCAAAACCATTAACTTCCCAGTAGCCTATAAAGGCAAAACATAATTGTTATCAGTCACAATTTTTTCAAAAATAAAGTCCCCAGACCATTCATGATATCTACACACAGATTTAACTGGCTTGCAAACCCCAAACTCCACTCTACCAAACTACTAGCAGCATCAGTATGGAAATCCAGTAGCAAGTAATGGGAACAGAATAAAAATTGACTATATATATATATAAAATCCTAGTGAGATGCAATTGCTCTTTCACTGAGATCTTATCAATTGGTATGTTTCCACTAAAAAAAACAACAACAAAACCTCCAGATCCTTTTCTGTTACAATAATGACCTAGTTCTTTCTCAGATATTCAGAACTGAATATAATGTTAAAATAAGCGAATGATCTTCTTCTAGCAAGGAGAGTTGAAGAAATGAAGAAAGTTATTCTATGAATGGGATAAGGCTCAGCTAGAATTTCTCTCAGTAATGTGTGAGATCTTTACATATGGAGGACAGGTTTTTCCCCCCTGCTTTTTAAAAACATTGCTATAATGAATTCAGTTATATGAGATTTCAACTCAAGAAATCCAGTTGATAGAGATTCTCCACCTTACTGAAAATTAGACATATGTTTGGAATAATAAACATGAGACCACATTGCATTATACTAACTCCAGATAAAATTTTGATTTGAAACATTTCAGAATTAGGTCATATGCAGCCTGTGAGATCATAGTCAAATTGTTAATATTTAATAAGATTTCATGTCTTTCTCCTAATTGTCTAGGAACCAAATATTTTTATGATATTTGTAATAAATTAATAGAGAGCCAGTTTGGTGTAATGCAGGGTTCCTCAACCTTGGTGACTTGAAGATGTGTGGACTTCAACTCCCAGAATTCCCC